CATCGCGGAGTGGCTCAAACTTGAGCCAGCAACTCCTCAGCCGGAATAGAATCCAGCAGCTCACAAGGATCTTCAAGCGGGGTCGCCACCGTGGTCAGGAACCTCTGAATCTCATCCCCCAAAGCGACACAGGAATGAAGCTGCACCCTAGCCACCCGACAGAACTGCGCCCAAAGTGCATCGCGGGTAGTCGCGTCAGCAACATTTTCCCCGGAGGGGAGCCACTCGAAGTACGGCACTATGGCAAAACGGGCACACAAACTCCAAAATAAAGCCGCTACCACCGACAGGTGAGCGCGCTCGCCCGATCGACTCCGCAAAACCCCCACCGCAGTGGTGTTGTCCAGAAAGAATACGACCCGCTTGTGCGACAAGGTCGGGCCCCAGAGCATCAACAGAATGACCGGTGTAAAACTCTCCAACACGTTGATCGGGAAAGACCCCCAAGAGGCGGATGGAAAATTATCCGCCCGCGAGACCGGGTGGCGGAACGCCTGGAAGGCACCCTCCTGCAGAAGACGGACCCCGCCGAGAATACCTCGCCCCCGCTTCCAACTCGCGTCCGAGTAGCACACCTCCACCGGGAGGCCCACTCGTAAGAAGGAAATCGGAGGAAGGACCGGGAGGCAGGCCGCCATGAAGCGTAAGCTCGCCGCACAACCGGAACCCAAGGGAAGGCAGGTGGCGCGAGAATGAAACAAACCTCCACGCCGAAAGACCGGCTTCAGCAAGCCATTTAGACGCCGGCCCACCAGCAGTGAGAAGGGGAAAAGGAACTTCCCGGAAAGGGTGGAAGCCCGCGCGGGACTGAGCTCCCCCGCCCCCAAGACTTCAACCAGGGCCGCCCGAAGGGTGGCGCGCTTCACTTCCGACAACTGCATCGTGGGAGGCGATTGCGACACGTCAAAATCCAAGCCCAAAACCCGCAAAGCGGTGCGCCCCCACTTGACCTTCTTCGGCTTCCAAGGAAAACCCAAAACCTCCAACATGTACACAATGGCGCGCATCAGGAGACGGCGAACCCTGCGGGGCGCCGTGCCGGTCATATCATCTATATAGATGATCAAGGCCACGCAGAAAAACCACCGAACGCAGAAGGCCAGAAACTGCCCAACAATCAACCACTCCGTAACGGAGTGAATGTTCCCAAACAGGAGCGTGAGGCCGCGGAAGGCTTTGTAGGCCTTCGCCTTGGGGTCGAAAACCCCGATCCAGTTCGTCGCGCTCCCCGCCTTCGAAATGCTTACATTCTTGTAAGCGTTGGCAATGTCGATAACCCACTGGCAGAGCCCCGCACCCTCAGGGTCCGCACCATCCTCCGCTGCGTCGAAGTTCGGTATGTGGTCCAAAGCCGCCCAAGCAACCTCCCGCCAGCCCGGGTCGGACGGGCGGGCATCCGGGAAAGGATCAAAATCATACTCTTCACAGGCCAGGGGGTCTGCCCGGTTGCCCCCTTGGTCAAACACCCGCAAATCCCGCCAGAAGTCAACCCGCGGCGGGCCGCCTTCTTCTAGTAAAATCGCCGAGCTCGAAGCAAGGGCGAGAGCATGATGAACCGACGGAATCGGCATCGACGACGAGATGTCGGAGCAAACATTCAAAGGCACACCATTGTCGCAGAGGCGGATCTTGTCCGCCTCATGGTGTGCAAAACGAGTCAGAAGGATGCGCGCCCCCTTTTCCCAAGCTTCGTCCAGGGTAAAAGGACCCTGGAGCCAGCCGTCCTCGGTTTCTTGGATTGTAGTATCCCAGCAGTGCTTGACATCTTCACCCGGCATCCACGATGAGCTGCGCTGCCGCAGGCGCGAAATATTTTCCGCACCCTCAACCGAGGCTGCTAGGTCCCCCGAACCGGAGCCGGTAGTTGGGGCCGGGGGCAAACGTCCACCCTCCGACGCCTTCATGAGTTTCGACGGCCAAAAGTCTTGAGCCGCAGTGGGGCCGACCGATTCCCCCCCGGAAGCTAAAACCCGCCATACATGCGAGAAACCCGAAAAAGCAGACTCTCTGCCAATCTTCTCAATAACCCCGAAGTTGAACTTCGACCGGATTGGCCTGGTATCCTTCCAACCACCTGCCAAGACCTGCTCCGAGCGAGAGACGGTCGCTGGGTCCGCCCGGGCACAGGCCAGCCAGTAAACGCCCGCCAGAATCCGGTCCGAGAAATCCCCAAAGGACGAGCTGTGGCCTTCGCGCAGGCACTGTTCGTTGTGCCGCGAGATCAGTCGCCGACCCGAAAAGGCCGGGTGGCTCCTGTCCTGCGACAAACCTGGTAGAAACCTGTCCCGGTCCCGCTGGACCCGAGAGAGAAAGGCAGAAACCTTGTCAGCCGGCGAGGACTCCATTCTGATGCTGCACTACGCTGGCGAGCGCGACTCTGTGAAACGGAAGTAAAATTCTCCCTCAAAGGAAAAAGGCGAAACCGTCGCTCGCGACGGTTCCACAGTAGAGTGTGGGGGGTGGGCCCAGATAGCACCCACACCCTGTGGTGTAAGCGACAAGAGAAAAACCACCAGAATGTGAAAAACAAGAAAAGCGAGTGTACTAAGTAGCCAACCTGGGCGCGGTCTCGTGTCAGCACGGGAACTGAGGGGTGAGAAGAGCATGAGCATAACGATCACAAAGTACCGCGCCGCCAAGGAGGTGAGTTTGCAAGGGTAACGGATTGGTTACCGCCAGTGCCAAACAACCCTCATCCCCGTGGCAACACGAGACCGACCGCTGAGCATGTCTATGCTACACAATGAAAGACAACCCACGGGGGGTGAAGAGCCACTCTCCTCTCGACCGAAGGTTAACAGCTCACAAACACCTCGTGAGCACAACTACCACTCCGATCTCGGAATCTAACCGGCATCTACACCTAATCAACAGAGACGGAATGCAGGGAGCAATGTAGACCGAGGGCAACAAAGGGAACACCCCGCGAGCCTGGCCACGCCAGACCGCGAAATAAGTACCAGGCCAAGGGGGCCCGGAACGTTTCTAATTTCCACTCACAACAATCACACTCACATCTTGTTCTCACAACAGAGCAAAGCTTTCGCTAGGAGCTAAAATCCAAGAGCAACCAGGCCAGCATGGATTTGTTCATGTAGGAGTAGTAAAAAGCAACACGCCGACGGACCCACTTGGCCGAAGGCGAGGGCCAACCTCTAAAACTAAACTGCACATGCTGCAGTGCCTACTTCGGAGGCGCTTGCGCGTCCCCTCTCAAATCTTTTATCACAAAGGGAGACCGCAACACGTGCGGGAATCTGCAGCTGCTTCCGCGATTACAGCGGCCACGAAGAAAGTCGTGGCAAACAATCCCCACGTTGGAAGTAGTAGCCAAAATTTCTTCACCTCTCACCGGATCCCAGACCTTAGGGATTCCGGAGGAAGAAGCACGCCCGGGCGGGGCAGGACCCGGACCCGGGGGACGTGGAGCGAGTTGTTTAGGCGGTGCCGGGATCTGTAAAGAGCGAATCTGCCCAACGACACGGGCCCCGAAGCCCTGTGTGCCCCCGCGCACTTCGCCGTTCAGGATATCGCGGTACTGAGCCGGATCCAGCCGGCGCGACTCCCCCAGGGCAGTCAAATCATGAAACTCCGCCTCTGAAACCAGGTCGGAGTTCCGGAGCACTTTATGTGTGTTGCGAATCAGCATAACGTTAGTGGTAGGCGACCCCTTTTCGGCTTTGTAGTAGGACGCCAGATCCTCGAGCGGCAACCTAGCATCAATCTTCGCTCGTACCCCGTAAGCCTGTTCAGTGAAATGGTCTGCAAAGAAAATCCCGAAGCGAGTCGTCTGCGCGGTTCTATGTTTAGGCGCGGACGACAAAATCATCTTCACTTCGGCCCGCTCCGAAGCATTGAGGGCCTTGATGCCCTTAAGCGCCTTGATCTCCACGCTACTGCAGATGTGGAGCGACCTAACACCGTTGTAGTCCAGCACAGCTCGTGCCAGGCTCTCCGCGGGCACATCTACCGAGGACAGCGAATCAAGTGGGGAAGGCTCCCGCTGGTGCGCTAATAATTCGGATCGCGAGATCCCAAAGGCCTCGACCTCACTGTCACTAAAATCTTGCACGGCCTTCCGCTTCTTCACCGGGGGCGGGCCCTTGCGGGCCGGACCCGCCTCGCCCTCTTCCTCCGCGAGAAGAGCAGCGCAAATCTCATCTTCTTCAACTTCGGGGGCCGCCATCGGCGGGGCTTTCACTTTCGCAAACGGTTTAGCGACCGCCTTAACCGCTTTCGCCTTGTGGGGCGGCGCCTTCCCCTTGGGCTTGGCCGGAGCTTTAGCTTTGGCCGGGTGCTTCGCCTTTGCTTTTGCTTTCGCGGGCATCTTGTATCTGAACCTAAAAGCGATGCTCAATGTGAGTGTGAATGTGAACTAAGTGGCAAGATACACTTGCTCGTATCTAACGTGGTCCCCTGTACGTGGAAAATAAGCGAGAAGAAACCGGTCTGAACCCAAAGTGGGAGGGGGGGGGAGGGCCCAGATCCCATTTACAAGCAGCGTCTCCTGCTGCGATCAAAGATTTTCCCATACCGACCTAAACATACTCAACCACTCGCATTTCGTATCTGTCAAGAAAAATCGGGCTAGCCCTGGGCTCAAGATCTGACAGATTTTAGATTTGGGACCAACAAATTTATGTAGCAACAATTTCCGAGCGACTCGTGCACGAAATAGAACAGACCGCCACTGGACAAAAGTGAAGCAAATATATTTCTGCGCTATGCGGACTCTGGTTTTTTAGAAAACGATTTGGAAGTTTCCAGCTGTGCAGTGCCTGTAGCTCGAGCTGAAACATAATGCGCCAGGCGTTCACTCCAGGTCGTCCTCCTCCGGAGACCAGCAGCATAGAAGCTGCTGCTCCTGGTCAGAGAATCGCGCAAAGTCATCACTGTATTCGAAAAAGGACAGGCTCCTAGCCTGAAGAGACCAGCCCTGCCTATTGGAGACCACCGCCACAAGCTTTTGCCGAGCTTTGGCGGCTTTCTTCCTATTCCATGCTAAGCGCGACGTGATCGCACACGTACGACGTGGCCCATGGCCACTCGTCTCGGCTAGCCTACAGGCAGACATGAACTCGCACTTCGATATCGGAAACAACGTGGCCCAGTTCTCAACTGAGCACACCGGGCAAACATTCACCCGGCTCTTCTTACACATGCAGAGCACCTCCATGCGGCGTAGCTGCGAGGTTTTGTCCTTGCGGACCATCAAAGCTGCTGACCGGGTCACACCTCCCTGCCTACGCAGGAAGACCTGCGAGCGGCTAATCGCCGTCAGGGTGTCGCCACGGATCCCTAGCGCCGAGGCCACTACTAAAATTTCTTTCTCCCGCTGTGTCATACGGCCCAGGGAAGCCAAAAAGATGGGCGTTGCCTTCTTCGGTTGAAGGTTCTGCGATTTCAAGTACCGGCCGATTGCCCGCTGCAGACCGAGGAGCTGCCGGGGGAATAAAATGTTTTTAATTCTTCCCGCCTCCCCTTCTAGCGTCACTGCTGAAGACAGGTAACCCGCCGCAGAGGTAAACCCCTGGGCCAAAAGAAAAGCGGCAAACTGTCGAAAATCCGCAATCCCAACTTCCCGGGCCTGCTCCAGGCCTTTCTGCACTTTGAACGCCTGCCATGCTCTTGCGTGAGAAGATTGCGGAGAACGTGTCCCGAAGACACTGGGCGCTGGCCCTCTAAATGAATACGTATGCGGGCGGCCCCGAGCCATGTTTGCAATCAAAGTTGTGATAGACAAGGTAAGACAAATCCACACATCGCCCTAACGGCACCTACTGAGACTTAGATCTGGAAAGGAACGGACCACTATCTGCCCTCAAAAGCACTACAGCAGCCTGGTAGTAGAAGAGAAAGAGAGAAAGGTTGACTTGGCGCGGGGCCTCAGAAGCGACCTAGCTACCCGAGCCCTACATCTAACATTCCGCACACTGTCGGATCCAATTTCCGATCTAACACTCTGAGCGCGTATCCTTTGTTTTTGAAGACCTTCCTTCATTTGAGCAAAAATAAACAGAGCCTCAAGCTCTTCAAAGACAAGTACTCACCTGCCGCGCAGTTGAAACATGAGTATCAGAAAACTTCCATGTCTCTACGAAGACATGGATTGAAAAAGAAATCGAAGCAACCTGCTGTGGCCTTGCTGGCCCTAACTCACAATGGCTTTCGCGCCCACGCTAAACTGCCCCCGCTGGGGCCACCCTCTATGGTGAGAAAAAAGGAATAAACTCCCCCCGCTGGGGGATGCCCTCACTGGCGCCACCTACTTCGGTGTAGAACAAAAGGGCAAAAATTCACCTAAACCTACGTCCCCCAGACGCACATATCGATGACTCTACATCGCTCCTCCCCACTCTAGGGGAGGAGATCGCAAACGTG